GTCGCCGGCGTCGGTTGCATCGAACGCTATATATTGATCGAGGAGCGATGAAGGGAACCAGGTTGGCAAGGGTCGTAAAGCTGAACCGTAAACTTTCCAGGGACCGCCCAGGGCTTCGGGGCTCTTCAAGGCTTCAGCTAAGCTTACTCCGGCCATGCCGGTGACGCCGACTATGAGTGCAACAAAGGGATGCTGAGGATAGGCGACTGGTTTCTCCATATTTTGAGCTTTGAGAGAGATTTGAAACAGTTATGGAAAACCAGATTGTGGAGAAGCAGTGAACGATGATTAACCTTATAAATAAAACATGCAATTGACACCAAACATTAAAAAAACCAAAGTTGGACTTTCGGTTCTATCTGGTTCAACACCGACTGGGGATGGAAATGGTCTGTCTCTCTTTAGCCAAGTATTAAATTACAATCTTAACGTACTAAAACCATATATATTTTTCAAAATCATTGTAACACCGCAATTCATATTCATAACATAAAAATATAATTACTTTTTAAAAAATAAATCATAGCCATAACCACGTAATATTAATATTAATACTTTAATATTTTTAATATCTATCTACATTTATTCTTATATTTTCTCTTCTTTTCCCAGAATTTATTTTTGTTTATGTTGGATTTTTATTGTGTTTTTAATTATTAGTATATGATTTATTAATAAATTAATTCAATACATTAGCCAGCAGCTGAACCCGTTGCGTTTAAAAAGTAACCAAACTTGATTAAAAAATTAAATTAAAAATCATATATAATATATATGATCTACTATGGATGTGAAAGTTCTTGGACTTATATTATACATATTTATTATTTAAGATTTTATGCTTTTTTGAATACCTAATTTTTTTGGATTTTCTTTAGTCTATTATGCAAGAGCACTTCTTTTTCAAATCTCAGAAGTGGGGTTGGTGAAGGAAGAAAATACAAGATATATAAAAGTATAAATTAATAAAAGATTGTAGATCAAAGTTAACCCTTTGTATTTTAGGTTAAATTTTATGAATTTAAAAAAAAATTAATAAAAATATAAATTAAAGATAATAAAATAAATTTATCGTCGTGTTGAATGGTTAAAGTAGACATTAAAAAATGACGGTTATAATATCGACGTGACATAAAAATTAAAGTCTTAAAAGATTCATCTTTGTGAAATAAAAAGAAAGTAAACTGAGAACAACACGTGGTTTCCACGTCAGCGTTAAACATTCACAACAATTCTGATATTTTTAGGGTAGTTTATAAAAGTTTTGTATCTTAACTATTCATTTTATATCGTTTTGATCATCCAATTATTTTTTATTTTAAAATCATACAAATGTTATGTTTTGTTCACTCACTATTAGAAACCTAATAGTGATGTTGACGTGTTATCATAAGGTAGTGTCACGTCATCATTAAAAAATTGAAAAAATATATCACGTCAGTAGTTTTGTTATTTTTATAACAGTAGGTGATCAAAATAAAATCAAAACTTAAAATTAGATATGATTTAAAAAATAATAGTTAAATGATGAAAACAAAACAAAAAAATAATAGTGGGTGACCCTAATTTTTTTATTATATTCTGAGTGATTAAAACAAAAATAATTCAAAAGTTGACTGATGAAAATAAATTTTACCTTTCTTAGTTTCATTTCTCTTCTTTTTTTTTAGTTTTTTTCCCAAGAGAATAGTGTTATAACTTTTTGGTCATAAGTTTTGTTGTGTTTTACTCAACCATTAAAATTAAGTCCACGTTAATATTAAGGTCAATAAAATCATGTCCATACCTTTTCTGATTCATTTACGTTTGAGGACATGTTATTTTTAGAAGTTAATAAAATTAATCTCAACTCTGGTTTAATTACCTTTTAGCACCTTATAAATTTTAAGATAAACAATTTGATCTCTCCCATAATTTCATTCTAGTTTCGCACATGACTTTGAGCCTCTCCTAAATTTAATGCTAGCAAGGAAATTGAAAAAAATAAAAAATCGATTCTAACCATACTATCATCCCCGTCCCTGAGCATGGATAAAAGGGTCAATCGCCCAGGGCTCCTACTTGCTCAGGGATTAAAACTATAAGTTTATATATAATTAAAAAGGATAAATTATTTATTCAGTTATTTACTTATTATTTTATTTCTGTTTTGACCATCCAATTATTTTTTTTTAAATCATACTACATTTTGTTTCTTTTTTGTTACTCATCATTAAAAAAGATTACAACAATGCTAAAATGACATTTTTAAATTATTTTTTTTACTTTTCATTTAATTATTCTTTAATTCATTTTTTGTAATACATAGTATTATAGGCCTAATTTATATATTCGTCTCATGCCATTAAAATCTCATAAACGATCCTGCATACTGTATGATATAATTTAATTCGATTTTTTCATGTTCTTTTGTGTTTCATCCCATAAAAAATTATATAATTAATATATATATATATATTTAAAAATATTTTTAAATTCTCCAATACCTAAACCCATGCTTTCTTACAAGAATAGGAGCATATTTAAACATGTACATCCATGATACTCTTTCATTGGTGAGAAACCTTTTGAAGGCTGATAGATATGTCGACCTGCTGCAAAACCAACCCTTGAAATTTTCGTCGATAAAAACATTCATTTTGTTATCTGTATAATACAATACAATACAATACAATACAATACAATACAATACAATACAATACAATATAATACAATACAATACAATACAATAATATAATATAATATAATATAATATAATATAATATAATATAATATAATATATAATATAATATAATATAATATAATATAATATAATATAATATAATATAATAATATAATATAATATAATATAATATAATATAATATAATATAATATAATAATATATATACACAACCTCCTCCAAAACTAGTTTACAAACATCTTTGGTTGGCAAATCAAATCAAAATTAAAGTTCATAAATGTGATCAGACCTGCTCCAAAACCAACCCATGCAACTTACGTCGCTAAAACATTCATTTTTGTTATCTGTATGAGATCGGTATTTTGTTATAAATATATATACACACACATTCAAAGAATTATGACTACGTGCCTCTACATAAAACTAGTATATTAACATGTTTGGGTGGCAAATCAAGTCAAAATTAAGAGCCATAAATGTGAGCAAACCTGCTCCAAAACCAACCCATGCAATCAAAAACATTGATTTTTAGATCGATATATGAATATATATACTAATATATATTGAAACAATTATGTCTTCTGCATCAGATAAGTATAATTTATAAACATCTTTGGGTGGCATGTCAAATCAAAATTAAAAGCCATAAAAGTTAGCAACCTCCTCCAAAACTAAATGAAATAATAATGGCTAAGTAGTAGAATCACTGTTTTGGCAAATCAAGCAGTGACTGATATAAATGTGGTTCAAAATAAGTAAATACTCATCTTAAAATCTAAATTTTTCGGTTAATTATCTATTTTAGTGATAATATTCACCTTTAAAAAATTTATGTTCTTAAAATGTATGTGCTTACTCTAAGAAAATTTTCTAGATTCGAAGTATGTAACCGATGATGGGCAGCAATTAGTGCGTACTGCTGCATGGCAACGCTCCTGTAATCAATGTGCAGACATCTGGTATTAACGCTGAAATAACTTCTTTGTTCCTCGAGAATTTGACAAATTAGCAGCTTCAACCACTGCATTCTCATGAAGGTTGTTCCATTATTCAACACCCAACTGATTAAAACGTGCTAGGTTTAATACTAATCCACATGCATGAATTTTCATTTCATGCACGTACGTATGGGTTTAATTTGAGTCTTGTTGATCAACAATTTCGCCGAGAGTTTTAATAAAATACGTAAAAGAAATATTGTAAAATATCGTTTCTATGAAGAACGTATGATTCTACGAAATATCATGCAGGGAAAGTGATATGCATGCTTCATTAAAAACCTCTCTAATCTAATTAGAAGAAAAGAGTACACACACAGCATTTAGAGTAAAAATACAAACTAGATCCAACGGGGATCAAACGAACAACACAAAGTTTAAAAATTCAGACAAGACACATCGGACGTAACCTACAATGTCAGAGCCACATATACTTGAGGGTAGGCATGTGTCCACCTTGAAATCTAAATTTTCTTCCGTTAGTACCTTATTTTACTGATAGTGTCCACCCTGAATTTTATGTGTCAATCCTAAAATTAAATTTTCTTCGGTTAGTTCCTTATTTTATTGATGGTGTTAATCCTGAAATTTTATTTGTTCCTATCCGTTTAAAATTTTTTGTTGTTAATCTATGTATGTCCACCTTAAAAAATATTTTTTGATCGGCCACTTGTAATGTAGCAACCACTCCATCCGGGCGGATATTATAGAAATGAGTATCAAGATCCTCATCACTTGACAGCTTAACCAAAGAATCCGCCACCCTGTTTCACAAGCGTGGGATATGCTGGAACCAAACTTCCCAATCCCGACAGACAAGCTCCTGAATGTGGACAAGAATGGGCAGATTACGTCGGCGAGCTATATTATTCTGAAGCGAACGGATTGCTTCCTGACAATCAAGCTCCACCACCACAGATCTATAACCCCTTGCCCAAGCAGCTAATTAGAGACAACCGTTAAAATATTTCATTAAATTTTAATAAGCTAGTCAGTGTTTGACACATGAACTTATTTTTAATTTCCTTCAATTTTATTTTTAAAAATATATATATATTTTTCTAAAATATAAAAAAATAATCCTATAATCTCTAATTCTTTTCCAACAACAGCCACCACCATCATCAAACACCTATCCACTTAAAATAATATCATTAAACACTTAAATGGATTGAAAAAATAATTTGTTCACGGTATCAAAAAATTGTACATTTTATAAAATTATTTTATATTAAGCCTAATTTTTTTTAAAAGAAAGAGAAAGAAACGCGACATTATAATAGGATGAGTTTCGGTTTCGGTTTTCATGGCATGACTGACTGAGGCCCCTTGAGACAAACTCACCGAAACTCGAGCCCCTCTTTTGTTATTGTCTGCTAAGTCGAATGCCATCGCCATCCAAATGAACTCATTTGGCGGGACCCATCCTCCTCCAGCCACCGCTCGCCGCAAAACCCGGCGTCGACGGAAGCGCGTAGGAGCCCCATCAACTCCTCTCCAGTACTGGACTTTCTTTAACAACAACAACGACGAAAGCAAGAAACACCTCCACTTCTCCTCTGACGCCGAAGCCCGAGATGAAGCCAAGTTTTCCGGAGGCGGACACGCGGTGGAGCTATCGGTGAGGAAGCTGGCTGCTGGATTCTGGCGGTTGCGCTCGTTGCGCTACGGAATTGGCGGGTTTAACGCTAGACGTAGATCCTCCGATCGATCACGCTTTAAGGTACTCATATTCTTTTTATGTTGCTTCGTTATGATCAGTTCTATTTAACAAACCCTGGGTTTAGTTCAGATCATTCAGGTTTTAGTGTAGCATTTTTAATGGTTTAATGACATGCTTTGCATGGGGTGTGTGTGTATATATTTGTGCTACTGTATACTGACAAAAATGTAGCAGAAACCAGATAGTAAAGTGTATCTTTCGGCTATTTTAGATAGGCTGCCAACTGCTGATAGACTTGCTCGTTTGAGAATTGAGGTGAATGAAAAGTGCAAATTGTGTGAAGCTGTGCCTGAGACTCGTAGTCATATTTTCTTTGAATGCTCGTTCTCGAAGGCTATTTGGGAGGGAATTGCACGACTGTGCAACGTTGACAGAGCTGTGGGGACTTGGGAGGAGGAGTTGAGCTGGGCAATTTCTCGATTTAAAGGAAAATCTTTCCCTGTGTTTATCCTTAGAGTTGCTTGGTGTGCTTACATTTACTGTGTTTGGGAGGAGAGGAATCATAGACAGTTTAGGGGGATTGCTAGAGATATTGAAGATGTGATAAATCGTATTAAAGAGATAGTTAGAGTTAAAGCTGCTAGAATAGTGATTAAGAGCAATGTGATTAATTGTAATTTTTGCCTTGCTTGGGGGATTGCTACCTCCTAGAGGGTTGGTTTTGGTCTGTTTTGTGGGTTCTGTATTTGTTGTAGCAGTGTGTTTTTGTATACTGCTTCTTGGATAATAATATGAGCAATTTATCCAAAAAAAAAAGTGTATCTTTCAGCTCAGTCGACAATGGGGTTCTTTTAGATTTGTCTTGGATGCTGAATTCAACTCATAATTATACATTTTATGTCTTTGTACCCTTTTGGTGAGCTTATATTAAGAAAAGGGTGTCTTTTTAATGTATTTATCTGGACAAGTTATATCAAATCCTGTTTGTCATTTGATGTTAACTGATGCATTTTTTTAACGGAAGTTTTCGGTTGTCATTTCGTTTTCGGAGGAATAGAAAATATTGACATGTTTTTAACCTTAGCAGCACGGCACGGCTCGTGTAGATATGACGCTTTCTTGGGACCATTCTAGCAAAGAACATCGTTCTGGCACAAGACATCGGTTACGGAGAAGCCAATCCACCATTGTTGGTCCAAAGCAGGGTACTCTTCATAAAGTATGCGCGGTAATGTCACTAGTTCTTAGAGGTAGTAAAGCAGTTACAGGATAGTTTGATGTTCATTGGACGTATAGTTCGAAGGATAGAACCAATTTTATTGTTTCGATTAGGTATCAATGTTTTTCAAACATGCTGTTCATCTTCATCTATGCATAGTTGTTTTCTGAACATCTCTGTAAGATTAATGTTTTTCAAACTACATCATTTTCATCTTCATCTAGGCAAATTTGTTTTCCGAAATTTGATCCTTGGGATCCCATTTTCCCCACATGGATTCATTGAGGCCATTGAGCTTCCTTTATAGATTGGTTCTAGATTCTACCTTTCCTCTGCCTCAGTTTATGAGCTCTTCGGTTTGCCTACTGAAAAGAATTTAACATTTATGCTTCATACTTTGTTGTTGTTATTGTCTGTGATTTGTTTGTCTATTTTGTTGCTTGAATCTCTTTTCCAGCATTCGAAGCCTAAAGAGGGAGCGATTAAGAGAGACGGACCGGATGGTAGAAGCTCAAAATCATCACCAATTGAAGCGTATGGTTTAGCAAGTCACATGAAGCTTCTTGAAGAACAAGTCAAAACTGTGTCTTTTGTATCAGCTCTTCAAGCGGAACTAGTGCAAGCTCAGTTATACATTCACGATCTTGAATATGAATTGCAGTCCTCTAGAAATAGAGTCAGGAACCAAGCGAGGAAGCTTAAAACGGAAAGAACATCACACCAGAAAAGCGAACATGAAAAGATTTCTGCTCGTATTGATGATTTGAAGGGTCAATTGAGAAGGGAAAGAAAAAAGCAACAAAGAATGGACGAAATCAATTCTCAATTAATAACGGAGCTTGCCAAAGCTAAATTATCGGCATTACAATCAGTTCAAAAATACGAGGAGGAAAAAAGAACCAGAAAGCTTTTGGAGGAAGTCTGTCATGAGCTAGCTAGGAAGATTGGAGAAGACGAGGCGGAAGTTGAGGCATGCGAATAGAGACAATGAGATTCAGGAAGAGGTCGAAGAAGAGAGAAGTATGTTACAGGTCGCTGAGGTGTGGCGCGAAGAACGTGTCCAATGAAGTTGATTGATGCTAAGTTGGCTCTTGAAAGTAAGTACTCTCAGTTGAACAATCTGATAACTGCCCTTGAAACTTTTCTTATGTCTAGAAGCACAAGCCTGAATATGAGGGATTTGAGGAATGCGGAATTGATAGGACATGCAGTAAAAGCAGTTAGTATTCAGGATATGGAAGAATTTTCTTATGAGCCTCCTGGATCGGGGGATATTTTCTCAATATTTGAAGAGTTACGGCGAGTTGAAGTTTTTGGAATCGAGCCATTGTTTAATTACGCTTTGTCTGGTGATATTTCTGATTATTACCCATTGAGGACTCAAGAAAATGATCATGATAATGACCATGTTCTTGATTACAACAGTGGCATGGAAGAAGATGCCACAGGCCATGAAGAAGTGCATCATGTCGAGAATCAGGGTTCTGTTGAAGAGAGTGGCCGCTCTATTATCACAGCTGGTGCACTCAGAAGTGCTTCAAGGTTTGAGATAGAACAGGATGAAACTTCTGCCAGAGTATCTCCAAATACAGAACCTAATCTAGTATGCTCAGTATCTGTAGAAAAACCAAAGCGGAAGAAGTTGTCTTTTGCAAAGATGCAAACATCAGGAGCAGTTTCCAGTCCAGGGACATTTCTTCCAAATGGAAAGCCTATTAAAAGTGGTCTTAAGCACCGGAAGCCAATGGAGCAATATGGCTCTACAGACTTGATAAATCCAAACATAGTTCAAGGCATGATCGGGGAGCATTGAGTGGCCAAGAGGCCATGATAAGAATTCTTCGAAGGCAAAGATTCCAGAAACCAGGACTAAAAGCAAGATATCTCTATCGCATAGACACAGTATAAGTTAATATATAGAGGCAAGATATAGGTTTCTCTGGAGCAGGACTACGGCCCTGGAAATCCTGTTAAAAGCTATGCTTTTCTCTAGAGGTTTTCTTACCACAGGCCCAAAATCAGATGTTCCAAGGTGCTACCTCTTCCTTGGAACCTCTCTAGTTACTTTCAACTCTGGTGAATGATTCTTTTCATTACATGTCAAGTTTGTTTCCAGCAATTATAACCGATATAATTATTCAATTTTATCAAAGTTATGATTCTTTTTGTTTCCTTGTTCTGATTTTTCCAATGGATGATGTTAAACATTAGTTTTACCCCGACATTATGCCGATATGTGCATGCTCGAGTTCTTCATTATTGCTGGACCATTCTTTTAATTGTGCTTGTGAGACAATGCTGGTGGAGTTGCATGCCGAAGTCGTCTATAACTTTGGGTTCGTTTCCAAGAAAGGAAAGAAAAAGGAAGAAGCAAATGTTAGATGCCAAGACAAGATTATTGTCCTTAAACTTTCATGTCTGCAATTATTTGTCTTAATAAGTTAATATCATGCATTATTTTTACCTTGAAATAATACCTTGATTCCCCATTTGCCTTTGGCAATTGGCATTGGACATTCATCATCAGCTTAAAGATAAATATACTGGTGAAGTCCAATCTTTGTCTCCCATTACCAGTGTTAAGCCACTTTTCTCTGTGAGAAAACACTCTTGATGACCAAATCCTCTCTTAAATGATTGGTAGTAGCTTTTTTCGGGTAGTATCAAGTCATCTAGCCCACCTCTACCAGCTTTACAAGCTGAGATGACGTGTCATGACCAAAATTATGGGATTAGTACGTACCTAACTCGAATATATCGAGCCAGTTGAAGTGGGTGGAAGTTTGAGATCGTGATGATCCTTTTATGCAGGAAATAATTCTTCCTCTTTGTTACGATAATTGAGAAGATAATAACGAAATATAAAAGTTTGCGATCATATGAATTTTAAGGTTTTGTATTACTATAACTCTAATATCTATTATTTATTTATAGAATTGATTATTTTATGAGAAAGAAATCTAATATTACAGAGACTCTTGAATTTCTACTTTCAATCAAAAGACTGGATGTACAGCAAGGTTCCAACCGCTGGGGCTCCACCTCTACACCCAACTCCATCTCGGGATCAATGATAAGGTTCGGCCAAGAAACTCTACATCCTTCTTTTATTAAAGGAGTCGCACTATAAACTTTTCAAATTGAATCAAAATAAAATTTAGATGACAAATTTTAACACTATCGGTTGAGATTTTTCTTACGAAATTGACACAGATCAAGGATTGTATGATATAGTTGTCTAGAGTACCTACATGTGTGGCATAAACGAATATCAGTTTGATTCTTGTATTACGTTAATCCTGAACCCCTAATCGCCAACTTTAGTGTAGGGAGCAGAGCATGACGAGCATGATGGCAAGAATTGACCAGAGCCTGGGGCTTTGGGTCAATTATATGTCAAATGATAAGATAGGAAGCGATGTTAGAGGCCAAAACAAGAGCCGTAGTGCATTGATTCATGATTGAAGTAAACCCCACTTCAATCAGATATGGACTTGCAATCAGCACCACAGGTCCTAGGCACCCACACCATGCAAGTGGGATTTCTGTAGCAGCACTTGCAGTTACTTCACTCATAACCTATATATACACTTTCTGGTATTTGTCATTATATCTGACAGAATGAACAAGTACGTATCAGTTAATTGGGAAAACTTAATATGTCGCATTACAATTTAATGTATAGATTAATTTATAATCGGATAGATATGGTTGAGTATAAATTAGTATGTGTTTAGAATTTTTTTTAATTTATTGACAATACACAACTTAAAAAATTACTTGAACAAGAGTTTTCTATGGAGAACAATACTATCTTTTACTACTGATGGTTATTCAATGAATTCAATAATGAATATCTACAACACTCGAAGTACATATCAAAAGAATGGTACCCATATTTTAACTTCATGTATTTTATAATTAAACCCAAAGAGAATAAGACAGTTGGGGAATTTGATGGCAATGCATGCCACCATTTAAGGGTGGTAATGCCCTTGTTATGGCACCATCAAATACGTGGTTGACACATGCATATGTTGAACCAAAAAGGCAAGGGCCAGCCTGAAAGAAACAATTCCTGATAGGGATTTCTTGGTGATTAATAATGTTGCTGTTCCTGTCATGGCTGAAGATGGAGTCCATTTCCCATTCCACAAACCACATATGGTGAAACGGCTCGACCAATTAATGAAATATTATGCTGTAGTCAAAAACCGATATTATCTTCTTTGAACACTCACGAATTTGAAGGGTAAATTATGATATCGGTTTGACGATTTTTTTTTACGTTCAGTCGAACAATAAGATATTATATCGTGCTCATACATCGTTATTATCTTCTTTGAACAGTTACATACCGGAACGGGCAAAGCTTGATGCCGGCATGACGTAGCCTATGGAAGTGAGTAGCATCTTGCCTCTGCAACAATTTGATTGAGTAGCTCGTGCAAGAATCTGGTTTCATTGGCTGGCCTGACAACTCTTATTAGGCGTCACTTACCGACAAACCCCAACCAAACTTTGCTGATTCTTTCTTCCTCTAACATTGTCATAAGCAGGACGAATTGCGCTTACGATTATTAAATTGTTTAATTTAAAAAAACCAAATTATAACATTTAAGATAATTTTATAATTTAGTAAAGGGGGTTTTGGATATGTTGCTGAGATGGGGACGGTGGTGGAGATGAGTGTGTTGGTTTTTTTTTTTTTTTGGGGGGGGGGGGGGGTAAGGGCTGACCATGTGAGAGTCTCTCTCTGATTCTGCCAAAATAAATGACATAACATTACCCTAGATATTGCCTTGGGCACCCCAGGGTATGGTAAGAAAACCAAATCATTTCGGTTAAACAGATCCCAAATCCATGACATAATCTGTTTTTTCTGGTAATGGGGGCTGTCATGTTTTTGCTGTATAATTACACACTAGTGGTGGTCATGTCAGTTGGGTGGAAGAGTTTAAGGTTTAGGTTTATTTGATGGATAGTTATGTTGTACGTAATTTTAATATATAATTAAGAAAATGTTTAAACCGAAAATATTAATATTTTTTAGTATTTTTATAAAGTGCTACATAAATTTTTTATAGGAGAGATGTTAATTTTGTTACCTAATTTTCGGTAGAAAAATAATATTTTAAGTAACATTTCATTTAATATTAATATTTTCGGTAGAAAAAAATAATGTTTTACGTAGCACTTTATCAAAAATGTTAAACATTTTAGATAGCGACCAATATTAACATTTCTAATAAAAAATAATATTTTAGGTAATGTTTTACCGGAAATATTAAAAAAAAATTAACATTTCTGGTAACGTC